GCATTGGGAGGGCTTGGAAGAATGAAAATTGATCTGGGCTAGACCAGTGAGATGAGATTAGTTTTAAAGTGAAAGAAGGATCTACAACCTTGATGGGAGGTTCTTGCCAGGTGTGGAGTGGCCCAAGTGTGACTCTAGAGGCCCAGGAAGGTGGTAAGTCTAGTTGCTGGCAGCAGAAAGGCCAAAGAGAAGTGGAGTGCCTGCTGGATTGAATACTGCTGCCAAACTCAGAGTTTATTTTAGTAGCAGTTCCTTGCCAGTGTAAAGTTATAAAGAAAAAAATATGTTTACAGATTACGGCTTATTGCTGGGTTCAAGATTAGTTAAAAGAAACAAGAATTCTATATAATGGTAGTGGCTCATCTCTAGATAGGAATTATAGTTGCAGGAATTGAAGGGATAGGCCAAAGAAATGTAAACTTAGCAAAATTTGGTGATTATCTAAAATAATTAAAGGTGATTCCAGTGTTATAACTTGAGGACATTGGGAGGACATATGTACCAGTGCTTGTAATGAACAAGGTGGAAAGAAACAGTTTTAAAGATAACCTTTGATTTTGCTATGCTTAGTGGCAAAATATTCAAGTAGATACTAAAAGATACCCAACTTAACCATTAGATAATATATCAAGTCTGATATCCAGGAGCTTCTAACATTCATTAGACACAAATAGGATTGATTTCCCATCTATTGTTGTTGCCTGTTTGTTTTGAAACCCATATTGTAAAATGACCTCTTATCTGTTAATGTCTAATCTTAAAGGTTAGGTAGTGTTTTTGTTTTCTCCATCTATATAACAAGTATAAAAATACTTGGGCATTGGTCTTGAAAGGCTTAAGAAAGGTACTTGGTGTAGTAGTGCCATTAACAATATTATTGTTTTGAGGGAGGAAAAAAGTATTTAATACTGACTGCATTGAAAAACTTAGTCTATACAGCAATATAGATAAGTTTCAGTTGCTCAAGATGATTTTGTCTCTAAACACTTAAACGTGAATGTTTTATAAAATGTATTATATATTGAAACTTAATACTGTACATTTATTTATCCATCCTAAAATTTCTTTCAGGAATTGTTCCATCTTCTGTTGTCCTGACTTCTTTCCAGGTGATGTCAAGGGTGTTTATAATATGGGCAGTGACACATAGCGTCAAAGAGGTAAGTGTTTATGCAGACTAAAATAAATTAATATCAGCACTAACAAATACTAGTCAACTTTCTTTTTCACATGTTTGTTATGGCTGAAGAGAAAACTCCAGGTCATATCAATATAGCTGAAATAAAGTTCAGAAGTGGGGTTAATAGTGGGAAACATACCCTAGACATGCAGTGTTGTTAAAGAGAAGACTGATTAAATGGTACAGTCCTGTGATCTTAGTTCTCATGGAGGTTTGGATGGTGTGGATGTGGTCTGCAACTCAGGTATATTTTTCCAGTATCTTGTTTGTATCTAGCACATTAAACTCTGGGCATCTGTATCCTTGCAGTGGGAATGGGAGACATTGATTCATCTTCAGAGCAGTTCAATTTTTATGGACCAGGAGAAACAAACTTGTTTCCACCCAGCCTACCAGGACAAATGGAATTTCCAAATATGCTGAGTCTAGCAGTTCTGAGAGACCAGTGCTCTGACAGGTGCCTAGAGTGGTAGATACCTAGGCAGGCCCAGGGACACTCATTGTAAGAATTTGATGACGAAAGCCATCATCACCATGGGTGTGAATTTGCAAGTAAGCTTTCATTTTTTGGAGGAGGGATTGTTTTCTGCTTTTTCAAAGTCAGTTTTTTCTTGCTAATATCACCTTGAGGTACAGTACTCGTAGTCACAAGAAGGATTCATTTTTCAGCTTTCTAGTCCGTTAGCATTATTTTGGCATTCTTTTCCTCTATTCATCTGAAATCCCTGTCACAACATTTTGTTTTTCAGGATTTATTTTGACAATTTCATTTGTATTTCACCTAATGAGGGGTTTTTTTTTTAACCTTTTTATTGGCTTGTGATATATGTCCAGAAAAATACACATAGCTAATGAGTTTCTAGCCAAAGTTTAATAAACTTAGTCAATAAGGTAATATTTTTGTTATTAATATATTTTCATGGAATTTGCAGATCCATGGGCTTTTTTTAAAAAGATCTCTCTCACTCCTCGAAAAGGGCTAAATTTCCCATGTAGAAAGAATGTAAAATAATTTTTTGCCCTTTTTTAGTGATTATATTTATTTAAAAAGAAAGAAATCAGGCAAATAAATTCTAATATAGCATATTTGCCTTTATTCTCACTTTTAATTGTTTATGGAGTTAGGAAAGTTATTTTAAAATACCACATCATCTCTTCATTTATTTCAAAGTCCTTTCTACAAATTGTCATGTTTAACCTATGTAGTAGTCCCCCCTTATCTAAATGGCATGCATTGCAAGACCCCCAGTAGATGCCTGAATCTGCCGAGAGTATGCATCCTGTCTTCCACCCACAAATTTAATGTCTTTTCCGTCTTAACTAAGTACTTATCTTGCACTGCGGCCACAACTTTTGCAGTTTGAGGTGCAGTAGCAAAATTAGCACAAATTTCTTTTTCCTTCCTCACAATTTCACAAATAGGAAATTCATTCTTACTGTAGATCTTAGAAACCTCAGCATACAATTTGTTTACTTTCCTTATTAAGTGGAGAATTTTTACCTGTTCACTTAAACGAAACCCTTTATGGCTCCTCTTTGGCATATCCGAATTGCCAGCATCACTGCTCTTGCACTTTGGGGCCACTATTAAGTAAAACAAGTGTTTCTTGAACACAGGCTCTGCTAACTGATAACTGAGAAGACTGCTAGGTGATGTATACAGCATGGATACTCTGGACTTAGAGAGGATTCACATCCCGGGTGGCACAGAGGAGGGCAGTGTGAGATTTCATCAAGCTACTCAGAACAGTGCCCAATTTAAAACTTATGAATTGTTTATTTCTGGAATTTTCCATTTAATATTTTCAGACCAAGGTTGACTGGCGGTAACAGAAACAAAAGCCCAGATAAAGGAGGATTACTATATTTCTTCCTGTCTTACTTTTGTGTATATAATATTTCCTTTTCATTTTAACCAACAACTCATAACTTTATCTTCCATTGATCTCCAGTAACCTAAAACTTCTTCCTAGTAGTAACTCATTTACATTCTTAAATAGGCAATTATGTACTTTCAATAATTAAATGCTAGATACAAGAAGTCAAAATATTGTTCACTATGGAGTGTTCAATCATTCTGCCAATATAGTCAGATATTGATTGTCCAGGTGCTAATGCTCCAGCTGATAGATTATCCATAGCCTCGCTTCTCCTCCTCCCTCCTGCTTCAGTGACCACCTCTTATGAGCAGGTCTGCCAAAGGGGTAGACAGGCACATCAAACATGCTTACATTTCAAAGCAGGCAGTTCTGTTAGTCAAACTGCTATTAGCAACATTTGCCAGGATTTCCTAGGCAGATCATTGAGACTGGTTGGCTTAAAAAGCTCTTAGTATCTCTGTGGATTACAGGTCCATGGACCTGGCCGTCATCCCCAGTGACGATGCTGCCTGCCAGATGTATAGACTCAATGTGTACCAGATGGGCTCACATATATTATCACATTTTAGCTATACAGTAATTTAGGTTATATATGCATTACGTTTGCATATTTAAAATTGTTTCTCTGCAACCAAAGTGGTCCAGTTTCTGCTAACATTAACATATTTTCTGAAGAATGTAGTGCGGTAAATTTTATTGTCTTTCTGTCACCTCTTGGATCCTTGTTTTTACATATAGCCTATTGATTAGTTGACTTCCTCATTTCTCACGTCAGTAGGGTTCGATATTTCTGCTCCTCTGGGATCAGGTTCTTTTCTCCTCATTCCCCTTCTCTTTGAATAAAACTCACTGATTTTGTTTAGAGCAGGAGATTCCCCCTCTGGCCATGCCCAAGTCTGTGACAGCCAACTTGAAAACCCTGTTGCTGTGGCACTTCAGAGGCCAGTCTGGTTGCTGTCACCTGTTCGTCTGCCCCTTTCCTTGGCCAAATGCTATTTTTCCTGCCTTAGAGTTTCATATTAGCTATAATTCAGTTTGTTCTGTACATTACACACGACTTACATTCTATTTCCTGAAGCATCTTAAAAATATCTTTATTTTCCTTATATTCAGCTCTGCTCACTCTAATAGTGAGAATCATATAACTAATGCATAAGGAAACCGATTTCAGAAATAAGTGCTTAATAAAATATACTTTAGTTTCTCACAGTGATGTTTGAATTCTTTTCATGCTATTATCATTTCTCAGTTTCTTTTTACATCATGTTCCCCTCTAAAGTGGACAAGAATTCTTCATTTTCGTCATATTGCATTTGGATTTGGGTTTTTGTTTCACCCCCTCTGACCTGCTTTCTATGCTCATTTCCCTTGTTTTCCTGTAATTGTACATGATGCACTGAGGAGTAACCTTATACCTTTTAAGACTAGACTCTACTTTTTTCACAAATGAAGTGAAAAGGCCCTACAGGACCTGCGTCCTCACTTGTCATTTTAGTTCTCTACCCCATGGAATGCTAGTGACAGAAATGTCATCATGTACATTGTGAACCTAAAAAATGATCAGATGGCTTTCCACCCATCAGCTAGGGTGACACCTTGATCAACAGGATATTAAGGAAAAAAATTGTCGTCTCTATTCTCAAAAGCTTTTTCTTGTTCTAATATAGCAAATAACCTTTTTCCTTGTATTTTTTATTTTATTTTTTTTCTTCCTTCGTGTACGATCTTAGGCGGAACCTTTTTCCTTTTAAAGAGACCATATATATGAACAAAGAAGAGCTCTGGCAGAACAACAGGCTGTGGGGTGGGTAGGGAGGTGGGGCCTGGGGATACAGGAGGGAAGCCACGGCTCAGGTCTACCCGTTTCCTATCTGGGTTGTCCCAGCTCTCCCAGCCCTGAGTTGGCTCCTGCCACCTACCTTAGCTGGGCTGGCCACTGGTGGCATTTGTTCCCTTAGCCCTCCGTTTGTGTTTGTATCTTTGTCTCCTTGTTCAATTGAGACAGGATTGGCATTTTTCAAAATGAACTGCAGTGGGAAATGCCACCTTCTGTCCCTCACCATGACCCCCCTTCAGAAACAGACAAATTCATAGGGCACATATCCTTCTTTGTCCATAGGTAGCTAGGCTTAGCCCCACATTCCTGAACATTTAAGTAGGCCACTGTTCTTTCCTTTCCTGGCTCAGCCCTCTTTGAAGAAGCCACCCCAAATCCTCTCCTGAGTTCTTAGTGTGAGATCTTGTGTTTGTGGAGCAGAAGTCCCAGCTCACCTTCTGGGGAGTAGTTGAGGAAGAAGTTGCTTGGCTCTCACTATGTCTGTAGCCCGAGTGCAGTGAAGAACCTCTATACTTTACTAGGAGTAATTTGCATAAAATAAAACTATACCCCAGAGCACTGAGCCTTCTCTCCTGTCCTCCTCACCCTTTACCAGTGTTGGAGGAAAGGATGTTTTCCCACATTGTTCTGGAATGTTCTGTGAGTTCTCCTAATTTCACCAGTCAGCTCTGTCCCACCTCCTGGCATGCTGCTGGGCGAGTGACACTTCATCTACCATTCTCACTCATCAGCTTGTCCGCAAGATGCTTACAGAAATCTTGTCATCAGTGTTTAAGAAAGTTTCCTATAATCGCAAAGGTTTTTGTTTGTTTGGTGTGTTATAGTTTACAGAGGGCTTTATTAAAGTACATTACGACCACTCACTCTTGACAACCATCCCTTGGGGTAGGTTGTAGCCTCCATTTAGAGTTTGAAAGCTGGACAGGCGAAGTGACTGTCATGCACCCAGCAAATGGCAGCTTGGGTTCTGAATCCAGGGTCCTTCCACTGCATCAGGGCCGCTGCCTTCTTGCCCTTTGAAAACTTGATGTAAACACGTCCTTATTTTTTGTTGTGCTGACTTTTCCTGCTCCCCCATGGAGTGAAAATCCCCGCCTCAGATCCAGAGGGGCTTTTCCTCTTTAACAGTTCCATCATGCCACATGCATCCTGAGATGCGACCCTCTTGTGAAATAATTCGTGCGTCAAGTGCACACATCATTGGGGCCCTGCGCGCTTATCTGCAACACTTTGCTCCTCTGTTTTTTCACTGCTCAAGTGGCT